CATGGAGAAGGCATGGAAATTGAAATTCTAGCTTCTGCTACAGCAGACATCGTGCTGCAGAAGGAAGCCACCAAGACAAAAGTGGTCCGGAGAAGTCTGTCATTGCATTAAGAAAATGCCCCCAAAGCTAGGTGTGGGATGATGGATGGGGATCTTACAGGTCTGCACGTGGGGTTGTTCCTGGCTGGCTGAATCCATGTGCAAAACTGTTCATTAGCCTGTTGTGAAATCCTGACAGTCAGGGACACGCTTCCATCAAGGCCTGACCGAGGCACTGCTCTTGGGATAGACAGCCCAATTGAAGGGGTTTTCTACGGGACAGGGCTCAGTGGGAACCCACAGTTCTGGAGGAAACATCACATAATGTTACATAGCAGACATTTGTGCCAATGTCCCCGGTCTGTCCAGCCTCAAGGTTCCCTTTAGAATCACACAATCACACTATTGTTAGATTAAAAATGACTGACACTATCATCAAACCAACAGTACCAAATCCACCAACAACCCATGTCAGTAACACCCTGGCTACACATCCCCCAAATACCTCCAGGGAATGGGACTCCAGCACCTCTCTGAGCAGCCCATTCCAATGCCTAGCAACCCTTTCTTCCTGATATCCGATCCAAACCTCCCTTAGCACAACGTGAGGCTGTTTCCTTGTGTTCTTGCCATCTTCCATCCTGATCACTGCTGTCCCCTTTGCTGCAGACCTCCCCAGAGCACAGATAGGTGTGATGAGGGACACGTAGCATAGTGGACCTTCAGAATTGTTTCTCAATCCTTGGGATGCTGGAAGTGTGTCAGGTCTAAGACCTGTTCACTCCAGGAAAGATTTTTGGGGGTGGTCCCTGGTATGTATTGATGGCCAGTCTGTGTTCAAGGCTTGTTCAGCTCAGTGCTCTATAGATGGGGTTGAAAGCAAGGTCTTAGTCCTTACAGATTACAGACTGTTGTTTCATTCCTTTTTTTGGTAAGAGAAATCATGGAGGTCCTTTCAACGTAGATAGACCAACAGATCTGATGTATGATGACCCCAGAAGTGAAGAGGTTAATCCTACAAAGCAATGAGATGGGGCAGAGCATCCCTACCCACAGGATGCAGGCAGATGGGCCCACCAGAACTGCCCTGCTAACCTGTTCCAGGGGCTGTTCCTGACAGTGCTGTGTGATGGGGGGCCATCACCATGTCACTGTCATTCCTCTCTTTGTGCTTCCCTTGGGATCCCCATCTCTCTGGCACAGGATGGGACACGACATGATGATAATATTTGGGTTATGGGAGCCAAAGTCTCCTAGCATTTCCAGGCATGTCTCGGGCAGCTGTAGGAATGTGGGACTCCAGGGTCTGTCCCTCAGCATCCTACTGCTGCTTTGGGTATCTCTGGGTGTGCACTGAAGCCTGCATTCTTGTCTGGTGGGTCTGGATGTGGACATGTTGTCCCATGGTGACATAGCTGGTAGGGTATGAGGTGGTGCTGCCTGGGATGGGCAAGGACGAGATCCCTTTTGGCCTTTCAGGTGGAAAAATGCCTCTGAAAAGGAAGTCTGAAAATGCAAGAACAGAAATCCCTACAACTAAGGACTACACTCTGGGAATTGCTAGGTATGGGAATGGGTTGTTCATCCGAAGAGATCAGAAGACAACCCTGAGACACGATCTGCTCCTTGCACTCCTTTGCTTCCTCTGTACAAAGGGAGAAGGTGGGGAGCAGGGGGTGGTGGTGGCCAGGTTGTCCTCTCCTAGGGGGTGGGGAGGCTGCATTTGTGAATGGAAATTCGCCACCATGTCCCTGCTTGGGTTTGTTATCTCTGCTGCTATTTTGGTCAGCAAGAAGCAGGCAAACCCTTGCCAGACCCTGAGAGAGGAGCCGGGAGAAGCAACAGGAGAGGGTTGGGAGTCGGAGCAGCTCCTCTGTCGTCAGAAGACGCCAATCCCAGCCAAGGTCTCCGCCAGTCCGGAGATAGCGGGGTCCTCTGGAGACTGGGCTCAGCCCGGGATCATTGAGCTAAGTGGGATCGGTGACAGGCTGCACATGAGTGCTGATAAGAGCCGGATAACAGTAGCCAAACTCCCACGGCCTCGGCAGGCACGGCCAAGCACCCTGGGGACAGGGCGAGGTGCACCCCCAGCTTTTGTTTTCACTGGGATGGGGGACAGAAATGGGTTTGCATCCCCCCCCCCCCAGAACAAAATTTGCGTGGTAAGAGGTGGAAATCACTTTTTATAGACTTTTTTTTTTTTTTTCTTTTTTACAGAAGGGGTTTTCGTGCAGAACGCTTTTGCTTTTTGGTTTGCTCAAGGGGAAAAAATAATACATCGGAGCCACAGGATGTTTCTGTGGGAGGTTTAATTCTGTCAAAAAGCACTTTCTTCAGTATGAAAGAAAGTGGTTCTTCCGTAACAGTCTGTGTCCCGAGATAGCCTCTGTTACTGTAAAGACACAACAAGGACTCTATTCTAAGATATTTCTAATAAACGGTGTCTGACACCCTGGGCACCTCCTTCAGATCCCAGGTGATCCCAGGTTGCCCTGGCTGGAGTTAGGGTGGATCAGAGAGTCGTGAGGTCCCCTCCAGCCTCAATGGCTCCATATCTTCATGAGCATTCATCTTCGGGACACTGTGTTACCTTTGCCTCCACCTCACAAGTGGGTAAACTGAGGCAGGAAGACTTGGAGAGCCATTCAGAAGCAGGAACAGAGACCAGCCCACCACGTGTCAGAGCAAATGCTGTAGCTGAACAAGTGCCAAACCTTAAATGAGGAACTTTCTCTTGTCGATCCTTTATTGACCTCTTGTTTGCTGGGATATTGGCTCAGGCAGTCACAGCCAAGAAAAAAAAAACACTGTTTTTTTATTCAGTATTTATTTCACTGCCTGGAAGATGGATCAGCACCAGAGATACTTCTGGGCTGGTGCAGAACCCTCTTGAAAGTTTTCCTGCATGTACTTACTGACAGTGTTTCTAAATGAGTCAGAAGTTTTGCTTTAAGATTTCTCAAGGAGGACAAGCCACAGGGGGAACCTCTGCTCCTTTCTCCCTGTGGCTCGTACAGGAGATTCCTAGAGCTAACCCATGCATGGCTGAATGCTAATTTGGGATCTGTCTGCCTCCAGAGCCACCGTCATGCTCAGCAAATGCTACCCTATGTATTTTTGGCCAATGTATTTCTGTCCTGTTTTTAATTCTCGTGCAGTTGTGCCTTGGTCCATCCAAGCTGGTTGAAGTTCCACTTGCATTATCCTTTCCATGACCCCAGAAGTTGGAGTCTTACCTCTGTACCATTAGCCCATCATACTTCCCTGGTGCAGATAGCACCCCTCAGAGCAGGTCCCCCCACTTTGGTGACCTGCAAGAGAGAAAACAATAAAGGAAAGAATAAGAAGCATTTGGGCAAGGAGGCAACTGGAGGTGTCTCTGGACTCTGCCAAACTCCTGCAGTCCAGCTGTGCTGCTTATGTTCTGGATGGATGAGTATGGAAAAGCTTCTGGGGCCCGAAGGGAAGCTCTTCTACTCCTCACTTGCCCGGACAGTGAAAGAGCAAGCTGGCAAGAGTCTTCTGTCCTAAGAAGCTACACAACATGGATACAGATGTGTTGTACTTATGTATAGATATGAGAGAATTTCCAAAAAAATGAGGGACTTTTTTCTCTTCACAGTACCTGGCTGGCTTTATAACACCACTGCTTCATTTCATAGAATCGCAGATCATAGGATGCCTGGAGTTGGAAGGGTCCTTAAAGCCAATCCAGTTCCAACTCCTGCCATCCCCTTCAGGGATGGGACACCCACAGCTCTGGGTAACCTGTTCCAGTGCCTCAGCACAGAATATCCTCTCAATAGCTAATCTAAATCTCCTCTCCTTTAGTTTAAATTCACCCTTCCCTTTCTCCTGTGTAGGAAGTTGTGCAAAAGATGACCACTGCTTTCATGAGAGTGTTACTGCTGCAAACTCATCTATTCCAGACTCATCATCCATCCAAACCCACTCCTCTCCTGTGCTTGAGATACAGAAGGGCTCCCCACATGTTCTGAGGTTCATTTTTATCTCATGATGGCCCAGCCAGTGTCACAGGGGCTGGCAATGGCCAGTGAGAAGATTCTGCCTGGCCTCCAAAGTCATCACCAGCAATAATCATTTCACTGAACAAAAAACAAACGCACATTTTTTTCTCCACCTTGTGCTTCCCATCTGTTTTCCCATGAGTTCAGTGCCGACCCCTGAAATCCCACCTATAACCTCACTCAGCTTCTTGCCCTACAGACCAAGATGTGTCGCCATCACAAGTACTGCCAGCTTGAGACTTCTATGGCAAAGCTTGACGAACGTTGTAGTTTCCTAAAGCTGTGGCATCAAGTGTTTATTGGTGTGGATTGTGTTGTTTTGTTGTTGTTTTTTTTTCCTTCTCCAAAGACTGAGGAAGCCAGGTTTCAGGCTCTGCTCTGCAAAACAAGACTGTGGGCCAAGACCCTTCCTTCCCAGAGCCTAACAATCTGATCACTGCAAAAACATGATGAGATACAACGTGCAGTTGACAACTGGGATCATACCCCGTGAGGTCTTGCTAGCCCAGCCAATATCCCTCCAGAAAGTCTTTCCATTTGTACGTATACCCATATGAATTAAGAGATACGTTTTCAGGAAGAGAGTTTCAGAATCTTACCCAAGGAATTTGGTATAGTCCCTACTGGGCCAGCAGGCTGTAGGTCTGACATAACTCTGTTGCCAATGTGCTCCTCCAAAAACGTGTTTTCCTCTCCTTTCATAGGTCTGGGGAGCACGGGGTGAACGAAGGATGGAGAAGGAGGGCATTCGTACCTATCCACCTCCCTTCCTTTCCCCCCTTCTCTCCATTGCCCTCCCCAATCCCTTCCCCTCTTCTCAGCAACGATAAGCTTGCCAACGGAAAAAATGTTGTCACACATATCTCACTTCCAGCGTGTGGGAGTTGCTGATAGCAGCCTGAAGATCTGGACAATAAAGCCTCCTGACAGCTTTCACGTCCCTCCCAGGCTTGGGGAAGGGTCCTGCTCTTCTGTGTGCAGCACTGAAAGTTTAGGGTTGGAAAAGGGCTGCTTGGTGGAGACCCTGGGGAAAGGAGGATGGAGTAGAGGAAGGGCTCACCTACCATCCCACATCTGGGATGCAAAGCCTTCCCCCAGAACTTTCAGCTCTGCCTTTCATCCCAGGGTATATCCAGACCAAGAGCCACACGTTTTGGCAGCCAAATCCTGGAAAGCCAAATCCCAGATTTGCAGCCTGGATGCTGCCTGTGGTGTTTGCCTTGGAGCTGTCCCATCGGTTCCATCCTCAGGGAGCTGCAGTGCTCCTGCACTGTTTTTCCTCCACGTGGCCCAGAGCACCTTGCCAGGAGGATGAAGTCATTTATTTATGCCTGGAAAATGTACTTTATTACACTCTGAGACATCAGCTGTGACCAAGTGACATGCTTTTCTCTGACACAGTCAGAAATGTTTGGAGGTCAAGGCACTACGGATCCATCTCCCTCTTTGGGCTGCATCTCCCACCTCCCACCAGGCTTTTCCCTCCCTGAAGATGTGTTGTACGAGAGAGGAGGCACAGTTTGATTCTGGGTTTACCTAAAAATGCTTCATTCTTTGATCTTTTCTGGAAGGGGCCCTGGGCAACATGATCCAGTGGGTGGCAACTGTGCCCATGACAGAGGGGTTGGAACTGGATGGCCTTAAGGTTTCTTCCAACCCAAGCCATTCTGTGATTCGGTGACTTGATGATTTGATGATTCAGTGGTTCAATCATTCTTTTTTTGATGATTCTAACATTCTAAGACTCTATGATCAAACCTTATTTCTTAGGGAGAGAAGAAAAGAGTGGGTGACGTTAAATATCATTGCTGTTCCATGGACAATAAAATTTTCTCTTCAGAATTGGGTAGAAAAATGTCAAAATCCTTTGGAGGAGGACCCTTTGCTCCATCTCACAACAGTTCCCATCTTCCCAGTACAGTCACAGCCAGCCCTGTATGCATACCCCACACTTTGGGTAAGGAATAGAGGTTGTCACCTCCCTCCCTCTGCTCGTAGGGCTCATCCTCCTCCTTGAATGGCACAGGGGATCTTTTAACCCTTCACAGACAACCACATAGAATTTTCCAGCTTGCCTGCCCAGGATGGGAGAGGTTAACCTCAGCAGGAGCCTCATTGACTCCAGCACATAGCTGATAGCAGGCTCCATCCTGCTGCAAGCTATTTCCCCCCTTGGCTCCTGCCAGGAGCTGTTTCCAGCACACACACACACACACACACACACACACCCTTCTCACAAGGCTCCCATTCAGCTCTCCCACCTTCTTCCCCACTCGGGTCCCCGCAATGTCATCCTGCCCTGATAAGGAGTGGAGGCGGCTGCGGGAGGAAGGCTCCCAGTTGCTCCCGGCGCCAGGCTGGGTAGAGGCAGACGTGTCGACCCTCACCTCCTCCGACACTGTCTTCTCCTCTACAGAGCCAAAAACAGATGACATCAGCCCCTCACTCCCCCCCTAGAGTCCCTATCGGCCTCATGGAGCAGCGTGTGCATGGAGGAGCGAGGAGGAAGAGCAGGGAAAGGAGGGAAGAAGAAGGCTGGAGCTGGAAGTTGGTTACTTTGGCAAGCGGACAAAGTTCTGCACAGCCTCACCAGGCAGACTTCAAAAAGGTGGAAAACTGGAGGCTTGCTGCTGGCAGGTCTTGTTATCAAGGAGAGCCTTATCTGCTCCATGGGGCCTGGGTGAGCCAGAGTGGCTGCTAACCTCTGGCTGAGCTATCCCAGCTCCCTGAGGAGCTGCACTGTCACTCAGAAGAGAGGAGCAGCATCCTGAGACCAGGAGGCATAAAGAATCATAGAATCCTTAGAGTTGGAAGAGACCTCTGAAGGCCATCTAGTCCAACTGCCCTGCAATGCACAGGGACGCCACAGCTGGATCAGGTTGCCCAAGGTCTGGTCCAGCCTTGCCTTGAAAGTCTCCATGGACACCACATCTCTGGGCAACCTGTGCCAGTGCCTCACCACCCTCACTGTAAAGGCATAAAGGCATCCTATTTGCAGCCATGGATCAAGGGGGGCAAGTCTGGGGTATTCCCAGCCCCAAAGGTTATGGGTGCCCTGTCACGCATTGATTTAATTCCTCTCCTAAGTGATGCTCTGCTCCCATGAGTCCTGCTGCAGAGCACTTCATGGTGAGCAGCTCTATTTCTTCCTGCATCAACAGCTGACCAGATTTTCTCCCTGATGTTAATGCATCTGGCCTATTCCCATTCATACTTCCACCCACCAGATGAGGCAGCGATACCCCTCATGTTATGTTAGAATATGAAATACAGGAACTTATTTTTTCTCACCCTAAAAAACTCCAAGGCCTACTGTCCATGCCAGCTGTCCCTTCTCCAGCCACCATTCAGCTCTGTACATCAGGACCCTTCCCTTCCCTTCCCTTCCCTTCCCTTCCCTTCCCTTCCCTTCCCTTCCCTTCCCTTCCCTTCCGCAGCAGAAGCAGAGAAGCAGGCTGGGACTGCCACCTGCTGTCACCAAGCCTGACATAACTGGAATTTTTTTTTTTCTCTTCAAACGGCATTTTTTCATCTGTTCATTCATCCCCCACATCAAGTGCTTTGCACGTGTCAGCACCCAGAGCCCATCCAAAGTCTGGTTGGTGGCTTCAGCCCCCTTCTTCTGCCCCATACTCACAAACACAGACAACCTGGGCAATCTCCTGCCAGCAAATGAGGCTGGAAGAACTCCTCCAGCTGGTTTTTATCACCAGCTGCATGGGGAACTTGTCTTTTTATTTAACTCTCCTACTGTGTCAGCAAGATTTCACATGAGTGAAATCACAGAATCACTGATCCACAGAATCATGGAAAGGTTGAGGTGGGAAGGGACCTCAGGTCCAAGCCCTGGCCAAAATGGGACACACACAGCAGGATGCCCAGATGGTTTGGGTGCAACCCAAGCATCCTTAAATGCCTCTGTGTGAGCAAACAAAGCAAACCCCAAGCATTATGAAGGAAGGTCCAGATGCAGAAAGACATTGAAAACTCAGTGGTTTATTGGTGGCAGACAAAATCAGATGTGGATGTAGCCATGGTGTCCGAGAGCAGCTCCTGCATATGGTCCTGACTGCGTGGCCCCTGCAGTGCTGGTCCATCCCAGTGCAATCTCTGTCACCTGCAGCAGCGCAGGCGGCCGTTCAGGCAGCTCCCAGCCCAGCTCTCCATGTGGAAGCAGAGCCTCCGGCAGTGGCCATGGTTGTTCCTGCACAGCTGGCTATCTGAAAAACCTCTTGCTGCAGAGGCAAAGGGCATGGGTGAGCTGCTTAAGGGGCTGGGAACCCAAACAGAACCGTACTGGTGATACTGGGTGAGCAACCAACACCTGCAGTTGGAACAGGGAGCTTCATGGTAAGTGCTTGGGACCTGAACATCAAACACAGCACACATCTTAACAGCTAAACCTAGGCAAGATGGGCAGCTGTGGGTTGGATGTGTCAGGTGAAGTGGATCCCTTGGGCAATGTCTTTACACAGAATAGGAACACCAGGCTTGGAGATTCTGGAGAGGAATGCACTGATGGGTATGCAACATCAGGGAGTGGACAAGTCCTTCTCCCTCCTTTTATCCTTAGGACTTAAGTTAACTAAATGGGAGTGTAGACACACCACATCAATAAATCTCCTCTTCTTGATTATCAGAGTTGGTTTCTATAGGGGTTACATCATCACAGTCCTCGTAATACCACGGTGACCCTATGGCTGGGTGAGACCTGAGCTCCTAACGTGTGCATTTGCCCAGAGAGATGGCAGTGCCCCATCCCTGCAGACAGCCAAGGTCAGGCTGGATGGGCTCTGAGCACTGATGGAGCTGTGGGTGCCCCTGTTCAGGGCAGGGGAGTTGGACCAGATGGGCCTTTAGAGGTCCCTTCCAACTCAAACAACTCTATGATTCTATATACAAGCAACCAGTCAAACAGCACAGCTAAGGAAGACTTCCCTATTAAAACAGAATCCCAGAAGAACTGAGACAAAGCAAAACAAAAAAAATGACCTTTCAGTCTTTCTCCCCGCTTTCCTTCCTTTGCTTTTTGCAAAAATTGCTTTTTGTTTGTCATGGTGTTCTCTCTGCTTTGTAGAGAACAAATTTGTTCCTTGGAAGCAAGAGTCGTGTCAGACTCGACTTGACTTGACTTGACTGCTTCTACCTGGGGATCGAGTCCTGTCTCTTATCTCTCCACCATCCTACACAAACCTCTGCAAATATTTGGTCCTTACCAGGTGCATCCTGGAGGAGGAGAATGACAACGATGGCAAAGACCAGCTGGAGGATCCTCATGGGTGAATGTGGGTGGGTGTCCCACCACCAGAAGGGCTGTAGGGAGATAGAGAAGAGGGAAATCCTGGATTTATAAGGCTGGGAGTTGTGTAACGCCCCTGGAGTGGAGGGAACTTTGTCAATCTCAGATGCATTTCAACATGACAGCAAACAGTCGCTCTGGGAACTGCCTGCTCTCAGACACCTCACGTTCATGGGGAGGGGAAACAAAAAAAGCAAAAAAAAAAAGAAAGCAGCAGGCTTCTGTCAGCAAACTGCAGTGAGCACAGTGAGCACAGACAGTGAGTCTGCTCCTGGTTGCTGCTAGAGACAGGATGTTGGGGCTGACCCAGCCGGGCTGTTGGTGCGTTTGTACACTCCAGCATGCGACGTTGGAAACCTACCCAAGTGTTTGCAGGATCAAAGTGTTTTGTATTTTTCTCATTTCCAACTCCCAGTCTCTGTACATGTTTGACAAAGTCCAGTGTGACAAAACCCAGAGTCTCCTGCTCCTCAGTGCTCCCCAGCAGTGCTGGGTTGGCTTGGAAAGCATGGGATAGTTAAAAACCAAAGGTCTGCTCACGTCTTCCCAACTTCTGGGCTACAAAGAGATGGCTTGCCAAACTTTTGTTTGCAGCTGTCAAGAAAAACAGCAATTCAACGTATTTCTTTATGAGTTTATTACACAGGAAAGCTGGGATATGTCCCTGTAATTAGCAGAATCTTTAGGAGAAGCATGTGTATCGAGGCTTGCTGCTGGTTTGTTTTAGTTCTCCAGATCAGTTCCAGGAAATCAGCAAACGTGGGACCTGAATTTCAACTCTGGCAAACAACGCAAAGCAAACAGCAAAGGGAAACCTCCTCCAAACAACAAAAATGGTTGGGCAAAAAAATGAAGAGGAAACGTAGAAACGTTATAAAGGCATCTTTTTACAGCAATGAAGCAGCAGAGGGCATCACTAAGTCTTTCGTTCACCATCTGTAAGTCACCTTGATGGCCTTTTATTCGCAGTCAGTGCTGGAAAATGTGCAAGTGCTGTAATGTGGTGGGACGTGATGTGGCCTTTGGGCTTCTTGAACAGAGCAGGGATCACTTTCATCAAACAGAGAAGATAAGGAGCCCTTCACCAGCTGGACTTCGGGTCATGGGACACCGTGTATTTAATCTGGGTGTCCTATAAGCTGGCCACACGCAGCCTGGAGAAAGGTAGCGGGTCTGTATGCAGGAGGGGTGGTTGCAAGGGTGTGTGTAGACTCTGGAAGTCTTGGTGTTCTGCATACTGGTAGTAGGGCAGCTCTTCGGGCTTTAGACTAAAAGAGAGATTTAGGTTTTGTGTGTTAGGAAGAAATCCTTTGCTCAGAGGGCGGTGATGCCCTGGCACTGCTGCCCAGAGCTGTGGGTGCCCCATCCCTGGAGGTGCCCAAGGCCATGGATGGGCCCTGGGCAGCCTGAGCTGGAGGCACCCAGCCCACGGCAGGGGTTGGGACTGGGTGGGCTTTGAGGTCTCTTCCAACCCAACCATTCTGTGATTCTGTGATACAATTCTACAACCCAAGCAGAGAGGAACTCTTGGACACTCAAACAGTGTCCTGCTCTGATGATGGGAGTGGAAGATGTGCATGCTGGCAGTGGGAGATATTCTGTATGTGGGGTTTAGAGCAGAGCTGGGGTACCAGGTGGGCATAGTGTTCCCAATGATGTGCTGCACAATTTATTCCTAGTTTGACAGCTCAGAGGGTGAGCTCTATCTGGAACCATCAGAATGCTGCTGGCTGCACAGGTGTAGGATTTCTCATAATCCCAGACTACTGTCTTCTCAGGAGGAGAGAAGTTTTACATGGCAATGTCCTTCAATAAAGATTTTCCTTGATCTGCAGCCGGTTACATAAAGGAAATCTTTTTTCCCCCTAAATTCTGTTCCCACTCTTTTCCCTGAAGTTATTTTTCATGACAAGACCGTGAACAGTGAGGCCACGTTCACCTTCAGCACATTTCTTTCCTGATCTTAGACTTCTAGCCAGCTGATACCCTCCTAGCACTGCAGGGGATGCTCTGGGAGCAATCTCTGTCCAGAAGGCTGTTGTGCCTCCTGCCCCACAAGACAGAAGAGATGTTTAGGGAATAATGCCCAAACCCTGCTCGTGGTCAGGTTTACAGACATCTGGTGGGTCATACCCACCATTCCTACCTCCTGGAACATGTAGGTCTTTGGGTCCATGAGATATCTGAGTGATGATTGAAGTCAATGAGGTCTCAGCACCCGCTCCAGTTGCCTGAACACAACATGTTACCATTTGGGATGCTCTGGAGTTCTTGAGGCAGCCGTGCTGTCTGGTAGGTGTAATCCTAGACCTACATCTCCTTCTCTTTTGGCAGCTGGAAGTCACCATGCCCCTGGAGATGGGTTTTATAGGGGTTGCTGATGGTGTATTATTAATGATGTGACAAGAGTTGGAGGAGGAGGAAGAGCCAAACACACAGGGTTAGAAAATACCTTATTGGTGTAGGGGACAGCCAGGATGCAAGGGGTTTGCCCACGAGTACAAAGCTCACTTTCCCCAAATAATTCCGGTTCTGATTCCTCAGCTGCATTTACAGTGCCGTTTTAAGAGCTGGATTTCACTTCAACCTTGGCTATCTTTGCCAAACCAACACTGGCCTGTTGCTTGGGAACAGCAAACAAATTCCAGTGAGGGGGACGTTCAGGCCAACGGTTGATGAACTCATATCTCCAGTCATTCAGGAATAGGGGTGAGGACTGGGCTGTCCATAGGGCTGCAGGTGCACGAGAGGCTGCAAAGACCCAAAATACATCTCCTTAGAGGGGTGGACTGTTCCTGTGTCTCTTAGGAGATGGTATAGGACTGCTGGCACTGAGAAATGCCTATCTGAGAAACACCTGAGCTACATGTTAGGTTCAAGTAGCTGAAATTGAAGGGCCATGCACAAATATCATCATTTGGCTCTCTCCCATAAGATCAAAAAACCTGGAGATCATTACTCTGAGTAGCATGCCCTATAATACACTTACACAGAAGCATCTTATACTGTTGTTTTGCTCCAAGGGAGTGAATGGGTCAAGAAACCATAGAGAAGGGTTGCGTAGGGTACTGGTCTGGAGTGTGCTGCTCTCCAACCTGCATGCGTATCCTTCATCCTTCCTCTGTCCTACTCTGTGTGTCTGTTCGTCTCACCTACTGGTCAGAAATGATAGTAGGCTTTTGGATTTTGTGTCGATTTTTGTTTTGGTTTGGTTTGGGATGGATTGGGCTTTTTTTGAGGATGATTTCCAGCTAGATCGGTGAGCAACGGAACATACAAATGGGGGAGAATGGGAGCAAGCCTTGTTGGAGCAGCTTGTGCCTGCCATCCCATTACAACGACGCCTGCAAAAGGAGCAGTTCCAGGTGACCCTAATGGAAATTTGGCTGGCTGACTTCTTCAAAACACACAGGGGGCAGAAGTCCCAGCATCTGGCAGGGAGATTTACGGGATGAGCTGGTGAGCTCATACGCTGCACTTTCATAGGAAAACAGGCCATAAATATAGTGGCTAACGGTCCCTCAGATAAGAGGCGTGAATCACAAACTCTGTGGGCAAATCTGAGGAAGAAACTGTTTGCTTTGGAAAAGAGCCTTGATTTAAATGCCCGCTGTGTTTTGTGTGCTGGAGAGCCGGGCTGCAGCCCACAGGGTGGGGAGGAATTTGGTTCCAGGCTCTGTTTGCAGCAGCAGTTCCCAAGCACTCCTGTCTGTGGGGATCTCCAGGGGAGGCCTGGCATCTCCCTGTGTGCCTCAAAGGCCTGGACCATGCTGCGATGACCCAGGGAGAAGATCCGGGCTGCTCGTGAATCAGGAATGGAGGCAGATGATTCAGTGCTGGACCTCTGGCTCTGGGCCCTGAGCGCAGTGAGGTCAGTGGGAATTTTCCTGTTTGGTTCATCAGAGCAAGAATTTCATCTCCCAGGGAGGACTTTTCCCTGGCTCTGGCCAGCGCCTCAGCTAATTGGCATAACTCTGTCTTTACATCATTGTTTTCTTGCTTGAAGTGATTGACCGAGAGAGATATGGTTTTACCTGGAATCAGAGACCAAGAGCACACTGACAAGGCAGGGGGGGATCAACTTCCTGCTGAAGACGCACAGAAAGGCACAAGGTGGATCTGGAGAGCAAACAGAGTTTGGCTGGTGCAGCTTAGAATCATGGAATTGTTTGAGTTGGAAGGGATCTTTAAAGGCCATCTGCTCCAACAGCCCTGCAGTAAACAGGGACACTAGCAGCTCCATCAGGCGCTCCATCCATCCTCACCTTGTATGCAGAAAGCTGCTAGATGCAAACTTGCCAGTCGCTTTGAGATTATTGCTGGGAGAAGAGGAGAAGCACCAGAATGCAGCCTAGGGGCGACAATGGACAAGATTCAGATCCCTCCTTCCACTTAAAGCAAGCAAGCCTCGGGTCTCCCTTCCTTTTGCTGCTTTGTGGGAGAGGAGTGAACCCACAGCATTCCTCCATTGTCTGGTTGAGCTGGGGGAAGATTTAATAAAGGGTGGCACATTTGCTCCTGCTATGGCCTTTGCCAACGGTCAAAGGTCTTGTAAACATGTGGAGCATCCTCGTTCCCTTCTGTGCTGTATTTCTCATCCAGCCCTTCCCATTGCCTGTGGGAACCTGGCACAACCAGGGAAGGATGAGTAGGTAAGTGCAGGGGGTTGCACTTGAATGCACTTGCATGTGAATACACATCCTGTGAATGCACAGAATGCACCTGTACTTATGTTAAATCAGGCTGCACTGAAAGCAGTGGAGAAGAAGACTGCCCCATTGCAACTGCTCTCCCCAGGGTGGGATGGGAAGAGTGCTGGGTGTCAGCAGGAGAGACAGACGAGCACTTGCTGTTCTGTTAAACCTTGGGTTTATTGTTTTTGGGTAAGGAGAAAGGCACTTTCTCACCTGTGCATGACAGGTAGCAGCTAGATGCCAAAAGGGACAATATATAGTCTGCGTGACTTCGCTTTAGAAAGTCACAGTAAAAGAAAAAGGTCCACAGCCAATGA